ATAAGCCTTGGCAAGAACATGGGAGTTTCTAAGTTGGCCTAGTATAGTGTCCAAGTGGCGCCCTCTGTATGAAAATTAAGATGCAGTCGATTTGTTCAGTTTGAAAAATGATTTTTACCCCACATGTTTTACAAGCCACTCCTTTCACAAAAATGGTGTTCCGTACCAAGAATTCAAAAGTGCCAAAAGCTTTGTATATCTATTGCTAACCATCTCATTTCTATAATTGGCTCGTTTATGGCCAGTCTATCAGGCTTACCCATGAAGTAAGAGCAGGCAATTTTACCCTCCAGGTATATCCGGAAAAATGAGGCTGCTGTGATAGGCTCAAAGACACCCTTGGATGCAGTCGAGCGAGAGCTGGGTCGAACACACTGCACTACCTGGAATGAGTACAACGAGATCAGTTACCCGTATTGCTTGATAGGCATGGCTTATTTGGTAACTAAAACCCACGCCGTTGTTGTGCTAGCTGCTACTCTGGGAGCTCATCCTTTAAATTGGGATGACAGATACATCACTGGCATTTGGGCAATGAAGGTGTGACATGTTTGTAAACATTTTCTGACTGGTTTCTACTTCTTATTTTCTAAAGTGCCAATTGCCCTTTTTTAATCCTGAGATCACAAAGTGTTCCTTTCTATTGATCATGGTTGAGTCTGGATGGGGGGTGGTGCATTAGTTTTATTAGTTAAAGAGGACAAAAGTGTGTCATGCTGTTTTAACCTGGGGTGATGTGTGAAGAGAGATTTCAAAACAAGGGGAACAGCTGCAAGGAGAAAACCTTGTTTGCTTCCTCAAAGTAAGATGCAACTTAAAAAGAGGTCTTGGAAACAAACCCGAGTATTTCCTGGATAACAATATCGTGCATCAAAACTTTGTTGAAGCAGCAGTTTTTCTGCTGGACTGGTTCCGGAAAATAAATTTTATTTTTCACATGTCAACTTTTTTTGTGCACTGAACATGATGATATCATCCATTTTCAAATTTGAGAGAATATTTCAAATGCATGTAAAATTGCGCCTATTTGAGATTAAATGTTGAACTCAGAACATTTTCGAAAACTCAATTTAAGCACTCATTGCATGATTGGGCAACGAAAAAAGACTGAAGTCTTTTCATGATTCATACTTATTTTCTTGAGCATGACTTTTGTTGATCGCGAGTATTGGTTTTTTTTAAGAATTTCTACTACCATAAATGAAGAAATCAATTCAAATGAAGTTTATGTACGTAGCAGTGCGTTTGTCACAATTATGAATATCTGTTTAATTGTGGTTTTTTTCGATTTTTGAATTTCCAGCTGGGTTCAAGGCAAATATTTTGGACCAGCCTTCTAATGGATTACAAATTGGGAGGTTGCAGACCACTACAGGAATGGGTTGATGGAAATTCAACGTCCATGAGGACGCCAGCAATTTTATGTGCCAAAGGCCCCTTGTACAAGCCAGCTTTTCAAAAGATGCTGCTTATATGGAATCAAACAGAAGTTACAGTAGTTTGACATGATCATCTTGGGTTGAAGTTTTTTGTCTTGTTGTCCATTATTAATAAAACAAGTTCAACCTATATAAAATATATTTTATTCATAATCAGATTATTCACAATCAAGGCGTACTTGCTCTAAATATTTTGGAATTTCTCAATGAGTCAATTTGTTTTGGAATTCAATATCATAAATATATATATATATATATATAAATATGTGTGTGTGTGTGTGTGTGTATGTATACTTTGTTTTGTTTTTCTTCACACTAAAGTAAATTTTTCAAACAAATTTTAAAATGTATATTGCACTTAACTCTGGGAAATCCACCCCAGGAAAACAAAAATTGTTTGTGCAGTAGTCAATTAACAAGAGTTAAACTACTGACTGCCAATTTTGGTGTCAATTATTAATAAAACAAGTTCAACCTATATAAAATATATTTTATTCACAATCAGTTTTGTAAAAATCAGGCAAAATAAAACAGACAAGTGTCCAAGAGAATCTTGTTAAATATGCACAAGGTTCTCTGAAAAGTAACCTTGGTTGACACAGGATTAAATCTGAGGAAAATACTGTTCCTCAGCAATATATATGCCTTTCAGGTATATAGGTAATTGTAGAGGTATTTTGTATATTATTCATGAATGCACAGACCTCATGAAGCAAAATATTAGATACAGTACATGAAACACAACACAATATACATATGCAAATAGGTTATACATGGTATATACATCTGAAATTTGCATTTCAGAGATGTGGCTGCATGGATAACATTTGTCACTGTCAAGAGTGAGGGGGAGTTTTATATTTGCTAAAGAGGACAAGAGCGCGTCATGCTGTTAACCTGGGGTGATGTGAGAAGAGAGATTTCAAAACAAGGGGAACAGCTGCAGCTGGGAGAAAACCTTGTTTGCTTCCTCAAAGTAAGGTGCAATTTAACCCTTGGGCGGCAAAGTCAGACTATTTTGGCAAAATTTGTTACACCTCAGGGTAGAAAATAAAAAAAGGGCAACAAGGATTTGATGACAAAGTCAGGTAAAAATATGATGTTTTCTTCTTTTTTCACAGAAAAATTTCATGGGAAAATGAAAAAAAATCCTATGCTAAGCAATGGGCTTTTCTCGGATTAATCCCGACTTTGCCTCAGCCCACCTGGAAGGTCTTTTCTGACCTTCAGAAAAATTAAAACGCCACAGCATAGGAAAATAATCCATTTTGGCCAGCAATGGGAAAGAACCCTTCCCCATCCAAGGGTTAAAAAGAGGTCTTCAAAACAAATCCAAGTAATTCCTGGATAACAGTCTGAAAATATTTGATGAGTACATTGTCTTGTTATCCACCCATGATATAGATAAAAATCAGTCTCCTAATAATGCTTCTGACAAATTTTCACCAGCTGAAATTACTTCTTTTAATTTTTCATTCTGAGAAACCTTTCTTCAAACTTGTCACCTTTCTAATTTTTTGAAGACATTCCACATTAGCTGTTGCATTGGTTATTATAGCTCAATTTTTGAGAAAACCAAAACTTTTTAAATACCTAGCATAAAGTCTTTTGAAGAAAGTGTTTTTGAGTATGCAAAAATGGTATGAAACTTTGCCAGTTCACAGAAAATGTTTTGAAAAGTTGAGGGTCCACAAAAATGTTTATGGAAAGTTGCTGTTCCGCAACAGAGGATCCAAAAAGGTTGGTTCCAATTCTAAAATCAGGAAACTAATTTAAATAAAATATTGTCTGTCCAATGGAAGTGTTTTAGTGTTGCGCAGTTTTTGGTTTCGCATTAGCTGATGCGATGGAACGTGGAACATGGCATGATTCCCACGCCCATTTCTCCTTACTTCCTTTTGTTTCCCCCTGCGATTTATATTCGAACTCAAATCAGTTTTCGCTTCCACTCTTCCAAAAACCCATTGCCACACTTGGAAACACCTCATGACTCAGTTGTGAGTCATTCTTCAGAGAATCCAAGTGCTGAAAATTATTTCGGTGAAATCCTTCAAGGTTCAGAGAAAAAATGTGATGGGGTCGAAGAATTTTTTGAGCTGAGTTCGTCACATGGTCGCGACCTTGCGGCGTGTTGAGAAACGATTTCTGCGCATTTTCCGCGAGAGAGGACGAAAGAAAAAAATAGACACACGTAATATGCGAATGTCAGCAGTGACGAACTATATCGACACTGTCGAAATCGTCAGTGACGGGTTCTTCCGCTGCTGCTGAAAAGAAACGTGTCCTTCAGCATACAAACCATTCAACATATCCGCAGCAACTGCGAAGAACTCGGATTTGAGTCTGCCGTGAAGCGTGCAAGTGTTGCGATGATTATTTTACATTTTATTTGACACGATCCAATCATTAACGTGTAAAAATTTATCGAGAATATTGATTTGATAGTCACAACATCGGTGATCTGGAATTTGTATTACTTTTCAATCCCATTTGTTGGTCGTTTGGACAATAATCATTTTTGTCTGGACTCAAGTGGCCTTGACAGTGAAAAATTTCGTGACTTCCGCCTGAAATCGACGCAGTTTCTTCATATTTAAGCATTCATTCACTGACAGAAAACCGGTGTCAGTGCTCAAGCTATCATTGCTTGGATGAGTAACATTTCAAGATTAAGGTCATTTTTCGCAGTATTCTCTTTTAATCCCAGAAAATAACGGATCGAGCGAGGGAAGTTGCTCAAAGAAAGTGACCTAGCTCATGAAGACACCACAAATTATCCTGTGGTTATCAGTTATTGTTGTTCCGACCTTGTAATCCAGAACATTTCATTGAAAGTAGAGAAAAAATGTGCGGTTTGCGGTCGAAATTTATAACGTTCCCGACTTGCGGTTAAACCGGAAGGTCCTGAAGAATAAATCGAAAAACACTAGTAAACCTGACGAAGCCCGTTTCCTCTTCGAATTTAAAAGTTCACATCCGTAGAATTTTGTAGGAAGATTTTCAACTTCTTCTATTTATCCAAAGGTTAAAGAAGCTGAATATTGTGTAGTGAAATATCGGGTTTTTATTTGGTGAACTCCGAATTTCGGTACAATGATATCCCCGGGCTTAAACCGGATTTGAAAAATTACATAATCGATTTTTTTAAAGCGCGTGTATCATTTGATGGATTCTACATCCATTCATAATTTAATTTTCATTCATTTTATATTCGGTTGCGTATTGACAAAATATTTTCGAGCTCGAAAAGTCTTGGGGAAAGTCCATCGAAACGGCGTTTTCATTGTTAATGATACCGTTCTGTTGTTTCTCGTGTGAAATTGAAACGTCCACAGTATCTTTTTCCCCCGAAATACAGTAGTTTTACTTTTTTTTTGTGGCTCCCGACGATTGGAAATGACCACAGAACGACCTGTTTGTGTGCGTGATGTTGATGGTGGTGATGATAACTTCCTTACCAGAGGACAGCCATGGGCGAAATGGGAAATAAACAACCATTTTTTCGCGTAAAAATGTTTTTCAAAGAAGTGTAGGAAATGAAAGCACGCATTTCAGGCTTTCATTGCAGTCATTGTCCTGGAATCGACGTGGTTGGGTGTTCGTTTGTGGAACCATTGTGGGAAAATTTTTAAAGATTTTCCGCCGCATTGGTTCAATTCAGTTCCTTGGAAGTGGTGGATTCTTTCATCACAAAGTGAAAAAAATACCATAGCAATTTTTAAAGGCTTTTTCAGACCCTAGATGTCATTCTCAGTGCTCAACTGCGTTTGACAATACAGTACAGGTAGTGTGTTATGTAATCACCGTTTCTAGAAGTGAATATGGTTTCAGATTTTTCAAATAAATTTCTATCATGCCTGAAACACTTCAGGCGAACTCAATTACTGTTAATTTTGCGTATTCAATTTCCGGCATAATGTGGATATTCAAAGTTGAAGAATGTTTAACCAACGGTAAAACTGGACACCTATCACTAGATTCGAGTTTGATGACATACTAAAGGTTAAAACTGAGTTCTAATTTCATTTTTTTCCGCTGTGACTTGCAAATACTCGAAATATGCAGCCTGGTGAAAGGTTTCTTCTAGCATTCAATCCCGAAAAATGTACGTTTATTTTTTTTCGAAACAACTGCTGATAACTGAACATCATAAATCCTTTTAAAATACAGTCATAATATGAAAAAAAACTTGAATTTTCAATGTTCTTTTGAAATTGTTCAGTGCTTCGTATTCATTCGGTGACTTAATTCATGGAGTTTTGAAACGTGGTCAATTAGGATGATAAATACCTAAAATATGGGTTTTTTCCCTTTCCGTTACGAAATTAATTGAAGTATTTTTACCCTCCCGTTTTAAATTCTTTTAAATTCATCAACGTCATCTTTTGAGCGCGGAAAGGACTTATATATTCAAAGGAATTATTTTTTTCAATTGTTTAAGAAACTCCAGGGGAAGAGCGATTTGTAAATACGAGTGAATTTACCGTATATTGTCGGAAAAAATTTTGCGTCATTTTAGGAATTATAGCAAGGTTTGGTGAAAATCGATTCCAAGGACTGATTGTGGAAAAAGATTGTGCAAACTTGGGAGTCGCCGATGTTGACCCGGGATTCGTGGCTGGTTTCCTGGAGACTGGTCTTCCTTCATCTTTGCATCTGGGGCTGTTTGCTTGTGGGAAACGGAAGCACAAAAGAACTGGGTCATCGTCAAGGGTTCGAGGTCCATTTGTCAAGCTGGAATGCAGAGACTCTGGAGGAATTGATTGGGAGCCCTGGGTTGTCCCGAGACAAGAGACGCTTCAAACGCGCAGTTGCTCCTTCAGGTTCGCTGCATTTTCTTGAAAAAAGAGAACCCACATGCGTTTCTTGAATCTTAATTCAACCAGGATCATTTCATTCTTAAACACCACGCCTTTCCTCTGCCCCAAGAAAAAAAATTATTAGAAAAATAATAAAAAAGACAATCCGCATTTCAGGGGATCAGCAAAAAAAAATTGAGGGAGGTTTTGAGTAAGCGATTTTTCCAGTTAATTGGGGAAACACGCGTTTTTTTTATGGGAAACATAGAAGAATTGCAGCGAATCTTAATTGGTGATATTCTGGGCCTTCCATTGCTTCTTACTTTAGTTGTCAAGATGCTGAACTTGGATACATGGGTTAATTTGCCCGATTAGTCTTTCACTTGATTTCAAAATGCATCAACTTACTCTTTTGTTACTTTTCTCTTTCCAGGATAAAAAAAAAATAGCCAAATGCCTCAGAAAATTCGAGTTGCAAAGGTTTGAAAGTAGGAAAAGCCTTTGAGTCAGAGGTTTTCACTGTTTCAGGAAGAGACTTGAAAAAATTATTCGTCTTGAGGTCCAAATTATTGAATTTCAACTGTATTTGAAAATTTTGCGGTAAGTTATCACGGGTTCAAATCGCTTGTGACAAGTAAATTGTTACAAATTGAAGCTTTCAAACAGACTGATTCGATTAGATTGAAATAGGTTTGCATGGTTGTTGCCACCATTAAATCGTAAATAATTAGATCCTTGTTTCAAAATTCAATTCATGAGATTAAAAAGCAGTTTCCGAGTTTTATCGACCTCGTTTTATGAGACTCAAATTTTTTCAGTTCTTGCAGCAGGCAAAAAAAAATCTGCCAGTGTCTTTTTAAATTGAGTTGAGAAAAAACTTTTCACATAGTTATTCATGCCTGAGTTTCAGCGCCAATAAGTTAGTTTCATGACCTCGATTTTTAAAGTTTAAAGAAGTTTCCAGCCTGTTCAGATTGGCGAAAAACTCGCGGCCATGATGCAAACAAGCTGTTAGAGAAAAGTTTTGCTATGAATTTCCAATAAGAGACGCGGGTCAAAGGGAACAGAACACATTCATGAGATGGGATTCGAACTTGTAATTACATTCTAATTCACTCGTGAATCGTACAAATTTATCAGTATCCTGTTTTATTTTAATATGACTTAAGGTTGACTTACTTTTTCGTGCCTCTCTCAACAGATATGTCGAGGATGACGGATTGCAAGCCATATCAGGCCCTGGTCACTTCGCATCCCGACACTATGCACACCTTCTGTTTGGCTCAAAACCCTGATTGCGAAATTTACAGCACCAAAGTGACCAAAGAAGAAATCAAGACTATTTTGAAGCTGCACAATGAGCTCAGGTCGAAAGTCGCTGTGGGAAAAGAAAGCAGAGGCAAACCTGGGCCACAACCTCCTGCTATCCTCATGAACGAGCTAGTGAGTATTTTATTTATTTATTTAATGTCATACAAAATTTTAATTTTCATAGTGATTTCAAACGAATTTAGTATAGCTAAATTTGGAGATTGTACAAGTGAGGTGGAATGCTTCTTCGGTTTTTTGTTTTTGCGGGATTCCTCGTAAAAAAAAATGCCCACCAAAGATCTCCCCTGCAAATATTCCAAATGTTATTTCTACAATTGATTGATTCGTCTGAAAACAGTATGCAATAATATTAAAAAAATCCATTGGATTTCATCCCACCCAGGACGAGTTCAATTGAGCCGATGGGTTTAAATGCGGATTAAGTAACAATAACGACGGAAGTTTATAAAAAATTTGTTGAAAAAAGTCTGTAAAATTCTGCAACATCGATTTCAATAAATGAATTAAGGGGTTTTAAGGCAGCATGCGAGTCAGTTGATGAAGGCACTTCATGGAAATTCATGTATTTTACTTTCCATTTTCATTTACATGATCCATATGATTGAAACTAACTTTTTTGTTTCAATCCACGACAAATTTATTTTAATTTGAAATTCCCTAGTTTCAATAAGCGTGAAACAATCATTCAAAAAATTAAAGCACGGCACTTTTACCTAATCTCCATTAGACAGAGATGTATTTAATTGTGGGACAGAAAAACGCTTGAATAAAGGCACTTACAACTTTTCAACTGTGTGAGATGAGTTCTGATATTTTAATATCCTTCCTGATTATTTTTAAATATTTCAGATAGCTTATTTTGGAACAATTATTCACCTCTTGACTAAAGGGCTCTCTTTTGGGGTCTCGTGGTTTATAATTTGTGAAATACCAGGCTTAGAAACTGCATTTTCTTGGCAGATGTGGCGTTCCTTTAATTATCAACATTATCGATCTTCTGCCTCACGAATTATTTGAAAGTTTATATAGTAAACTCCTATACCATGAAAGTGAAAACTTGAATGCGTATACTTCAAAGTGCGAACTCCTCTCGAGAATTCCACGCAGCAGCGAAAAGTGTGTCATGAAATTCATAAAAAATCATGAAACTGTGTCATATTTATTCTTCATAAAATTCATAGAAAAATTATGGAAGTGTGTCATATTTTTTCTCTGCCGTCATGAAATCAAGTCGTCGGGGAATTCTCATCACGGAAAATCAACCCCTGTCATCGCCAGGGGCAAATGAATGCTTTCCGTGGGGGGTGCTTGCAATCCCGGGTTCTATTTATAACTTTACCCATACCTACAAACATGACGGTTTCGCGCATGTAGGTATTTCCTGCTGTATATATATTTTTATACAAGGAGTAGATTCGGGTGCACAGAAATAATCCCACGAGGTTCCACTGCTGCGGTCGTCTCGACAGAACCTTTCCTGCAAAACCCGGGTTTCGTTTCTGCTTGGCTGTCGAAAGCTGTGAAGCAGCATGGGTTTGACCCGTCGGGCCGCCCACGGGGCTAATTTCGGACAGGCATAGAATACTCTCTTTTTTTTTGCCCTAAGGCCCAGGTTTTCTTGAAAAGCGATTCGATTCTCTGCTGCGCTTTTTTTCTTCAAAAAAATACTGTACGTGTTGCCGGGATGGCGGTTGCAATTGCTTTACATTGAGTCCCCTGGAACAAAAATCTAGTAATCCATGCCAGGATTAGCTTTGTTATGCGAGACATGATTTATTTTGAGTTTTCTACCAATCGAAATGCATTTAATCCCTAGCAGGTATTCACGGACAATCCATGAAGATGATTGACCGAACAAACCTGTGCATTTTAGCCAACAAAATACAAACGTATTCGTAAAATATGTATGTGATATTATTGCCGTTAAGCTCTTGACTTTCCAAAACTCACACATTTCTGGCTATTCGAAAGATTTTTTATTTATTTTTGCAGTAAAATGTTCGTCTTAAAAAAAAAGTGAAGGTGCAAACTAAAAACTCTCCGGAATTCGTGAATATTTTCTCGGATTTTTTTGGAAACAATTTCGATATAGGATGGCCGTCTTCTTTCCCCAAAAAAATGTAACTTTTTCCTTGTAACTTTTTCCTTTTGTTTCTGACAAGTCGGGATCCAGGACTTCACAGGAATATATTTTTTTTGCAAAAGGTCTGGAATTATGTGAATAAAATATGGTCTTACCGAGAAAGACAAATCCCTATCCATTCAGCATCCGGGTTTTTCATAAGAGATGGGATTCCCGAAACGAAGAACAATTTGAAAATCTTTTTACTTAAGATGATTAGCCGAAAATTTTATCATTCCTAAACATGATTATATCATGTTCCTCTTCAACATCGGAGTAGAACGTTAATAAATCAGGGAACTTCGGAAAATTCCTGAAAAATCCGAGGAGCATTTTGTGTGTATATTTCCTACACCCGTCACCATGTTGTCGGCATGAATTACTTAGATTTTTGGAAATTAAAAGAATTAGAGAGTAAGTGTTTCAAAACCTAATGAAGTTGTCTGTTATGATTGATTCTGGCCCAACTTTCAGGAAAAGCTGAAATGTGAAGCATTTATAACCATAGCCTTTGGATGCGCTCTGAAAGTCGTGGATATTTACCACTTATCGCCATGAATTTCAAAATTGCTTTTTTATTTTCGAGTGAGTAAAAAGAATGATTGGAATCTTTGCTCTGTTTGTACATTATTTTTCAGCGAACCTGTTGGGGACTCGCGGCGCACCCCGAATACAAATCAATTAAATATATCTAATCGGGTGGAAAACCACCCGCGCGTAAAAAACGGATGAAATCCGTCAACGGTTTTCCCCTCCCCAAGAATTAAACTTTCTTGGCGCCAAGACGTCTGTCTTGGTGCCAAGACGTCTTCGATTACCAATTTGTCGGCCAATCCCAGGCCTTCGAGATTCCCCTGCCCTTGATCAAACCCCCTTGATCAAGAGCAGGAGAAGAAATTAATAAATACCCCCTGCTTTCATCAAAAGTACACAGTTCTTGTTTTGTTGCCGTTGCAGCGTGATCAGAGGTTTTTTGAGAGGTCTTTCTGAAAACATCTTGTTCAAAAATCTTCTAATTGTGTTGTCTGTTTTTGTTCATCATCTAAATTTTGGGACTTATCGAAATATACTTTAACTTTAAATAGGGATTCCACCGTGAATTCCCGGCCCCTGTCCCGGGCTGATTCTGTGTTTTTCTTGAAATCGTTTTATCAGTTAATCTCTTTCTTTACAGCCTTTTCTTGTTGCAGTGACTTCAGTCACCAACAGAACCCATCTGCAATACTTTTGAACCCCTCTTTATTCATTGAGGGACTCCTAAGGGACATGAGACCCTTTTGTTAGTAGTTGTGGGAAGCACATATATTTCATTGGGTTTCTACGCATTTGTTCTAATCCGAAAATGAGGTGAAAACGAGTCCTTCCGGCAATTTTCTTTTGGTGGGATTGTGGATATAATGCTCCGAATTCCGTCATACCTGATGAAATCCACTCTCACTCAACTTTTTCTCAAAGGCACTAATTTCGCTTCATCGCAAACTTGTGCTAGATCATATCATCCCTTTGAAAAAATGAGGGTTTCTCGCTATCGTATAGTAAAAATGCACACGTAATTTGCTGACAACGTAAAACTTTGTGTTGAAGGCCTTCAGAAATCTGAATGGATAGTTTTTACATATCTGACGATGAGTACCTTTAGCTTGCATAAGCTCTGAAAAGTTTACTTCACTTATATGCGAGATACAGTAAATGTATCTTTCTGTATATAGTACTGCACAGTGTAATACTACAAGTACTGTACTAAAAGAATAGTGTCTCGCGTAGAACTTTTAAAAAATTTCTCAGTGCAGATGAAATATGCGACAAATTAAATTTTGTGTTCTCTTAATACTGGGATTTGATCCAATTTGCTTGTCATTTGTGTCTACGGTCTACAAGAAGTTTAAAATTTATTTTTATCGCTTAAAATAAATTTATAATGCACTCGAATACGACTCAAACATTTTTCTTGTTAATTTAATTTGTATATTAATTATATTCCAAGAATAACTCCTGTTCCAATTTCTGGGCATGAATTACATTAATAATTTATATAATTTATATAATCTGGAGTAATGGCAGGAGGCTTTCAAATTGGTAGTTAATGTATATTTAGTAATGTAGTAGATAATAATCGTGTATTAGGAAGTTTCAATCTTGAGGTTGGGGAACCCAGCATCAACCATAAACCCAATAAAGGTAATACCTGATGTATTAAAAAATCCTTCAAAGATTGATTTGAATTTGACTGATAACCTGATAACTATTTGATAACTATTTGAATAATCACCCACTTCACGTTCTGAACTTCTGCTGGTGACTATTTGATGAAAAGTTCATTAAATTGGATGAAAATGTGTTGATTAAGAAGGTCATTTTATTGCTTCCTCGACATTACATAAATTCATATTTGTGTTCTAGAAGAAGTTTAGTGCGACGAAAGGCAATAGGAAGCCTCGATAATAAGAGATCCATGTGTTGGTTGCTGTACATTGGGAAAATTTGTTAATCGGCTGAAAAGGTGGACGAGTCCTTAAAAAGTGTTTATTTTTCACAATTCAAGACTTGGGACGACGAATTGGCGGAAATTGCTCATCGATGGGCAGTTCAATGTATTGACGCTCAGGGAATTGGTGAACCGATGCCGCAACATCCGCATGATTGCACGGAATGCCGTCGAGTTCTTGGCCGTGAGTCAAACTCCTCCTGCTTTGATTGATATTATTCAAATTTGCTTCAAAAACGTGCTTCATCAACAACAACAAATGACATACGAATCATGCTCGTGTTCACAAAGGTTATCGCGTAATATATACAGTCCGTCAGTTTTTTCGAAAAACATTACTATGTATAGGAGGGTTTGTTCATGAGCTCTGAGACTTTCTGAAACAGATCCAAGGGATTTTCAACAATCCCACAAAAATAATTACTCGCACCCCACCTTTTGGCAACACTTCAGCTGAAGTGTTGCCAAATGTTGGCTAAATAAGCTTGTGCTATTCAACTTACTCTCCGCCGATTTCAATGCATTTTTCACGCAATGAATCCAACGATAAAAATATTGCCAAAAATCAAGTTTCGTTAATTGATTAAGCTGTTTTTATGGCTGTAATGAGGCTGATGTCCTTTTCCTCAAATCAGACCCTTTCAGGTTGTTCTTCGCTGTCAGGAACAGCCAGTAGTCACAGGGTGCCAATAATCAATTAACAGAACTCGATTTTGGCACTGTTTTTGTTTGCTGCATCTATAGCGGAAACAAATGCATTGAAATTGGCGGAGAGGGTATGTTGAATAGCGCAGAAGTGTTGCCAAACGATGAGGTAATGGGAGTAAACATTTTGGAATTCTTGAAACCCCGTTTGAACTATTTCAGAAAGTCTTGAAACTCATGAACCAATCTTAGCAAATGTTCCACGAATTTGAAAACTGCTCTTCATTTCACCCTCGTTAGAAACTTCATGATTTCTGCCCAAATGTCCTTTTTGGAAAAATGTAATCTTTATGCATCCAGGGTTCCTCTTCTTCTCAAAGTCAATCCGTCAAAATTAGAGAAAAAGCAAGCATTATTCTTTGAAAGTGGAAACCATCTTGCAATGATGAAAATTGCGAGACTGACGACTTTTTTTAAAACCCAATATCGCATTCTGTGGGATTTAAAAACTATATTTTCTGCTTCATCCACTGTCAAATTTGGATATGCAACTTATCGTTTCACACGACTCAGAGTTTTAAATTTATGGATCAATTTAGACATTTAAATTTTGGTATATAGATGAATGGCCATTCGTTGGCCAGAATGTTGCCTGGAGTGCTTCTTGGTCTTCTGACGGGTCTGCAAAACTGCAAAGTCAATGGACGAAACATATTTTTGGATGGTATGACGAGGTGAAGGACTTTTCCCGCACTGAAGTCGAACAATTCAAGTAAGTCCTGATCAAAGCCATTTTAAAATACTTTTTCAAGAGTCATAAACCCTGATTTTCGGAGCGATCATGCAAACGCCTTCGCCTTCAAGGATTCCCAAAATTTAAAAATGGTTGTGTTATCCAGGAAACGCTTGGATATGTTTTGAGGATCTCCCTTTTTAATTTGCACTTGCTTCAAGGAAGCGTACAAGGT